AATTCCATCACTGTTTGACATTGTTGCAAAGAGGCGGAGGAATTATCCAGAAGGACACAATGGTGTCAAAGTACAACAGAATAATAAGATGATGACAAAATAATTGCGATATTAATTTGGAGAAAATAAAAGAGAAATATGTATTCCTTAATTTGCTAAAAGCGTTTTTGCTGCCTAATCCTAGATCTAGAAAATTATCATATTCATGAAACCGTTATCTGATTTTAAATAATAGATGTTCATTATTGTTAATTCATAAAATTCATATTTTCAAAGACATGTATTGCATTTATTTTACTGTTTAGAAAGGAAGTCATACAAAAGTTTCAGACAGTTTATATTTGGGAAAAACCCACCTTTCACACTGTGTGTTGCAGCCCAATTGGTCCTTTAAAGTTAATATTTAAACATAGTGGCTTTAACCCTCTGGAGTCGGTGGACGCGCCGGTAATTTTACGTAATTAATCATATATTTTCGATTATAAAGAGTAGAAATATGATTCAGATATCCGCGGAATCGCTGGAAGAGTAGCTTTCCAGCGGTATCTCCTGTGAGACTGTAACCAGGGCACAGCTGCCGCTCAAAGCAGCTTGACTTTACACTGTGTGGGATTGGTGGATTCGTGTGTCCGTCAAGGAAATCTCGGCCGGCAGCCATCAAGGTCTGAAATGACCAATGGACATCGAGAAATCACTAAGGACCTACCCACCAAGTAAACAAAACATAAACCACGTGCCTCCCATCAGTTTACGTCTTTGAGGAGAGAGAGAGAGACAGAGAAACACATTACAGTTGCCGACTTCGCTAGAGATTTATTTCGCTAGCAGCAGTGAAGATAGAGCCTCAGAACCTGAAGTCTTCCACTCTTCTGAAGAAGAAGAATACAAAGACAACAACAAGGATCCATTTGGGCATGGGTAAGTGTAAATATTACAGTAATAGTGTACTGGCAATGTGTGGGGAATACCGCGAAAATGAACAATAGGTTTATTGATATATATTTTTTATCGATAGTCATGAACTTTTTATTGGACAAAATAGACTCTCCATTAGCAAACGTTTACTCTGTGTTAACGTTATTTTGGTGTGTAAAACTATAGGTTACTTGCGTAACCCCAGTTCTCAGAGTAACATGAAGTGAGATGTCTCACTATGGGATGCGCCTCATTGCGGAGCAAACAGAAGCATCAATCTCATTACGCCAATCCTGATTGGCTGGTGATCTTGACGTCAGCGTCAGGGAATCACCCCCTATAAGTAGCTTGCGCCACGACGCATGCATCATTCAAAATAAGCACCTCTTCTCGCTTCACCATAGCAAGGAGGGCCGTCTGGTGAGACATCTCACTTCATGTTACTCTGAGAACTGGGGTTACGCAAGTAACCTATAGTTCTCATTCATAACACTCCGTTCGATGTCTCACTATGGGAAATTGTAGCTCCCGTATTGCCAGACGAGCTTATCTCGAAAACCACCAACCAAACAGAACCTTAACAGGTAGAGTCCCGACTCAACAAGGTGCCCAGCACTGCTCGGGCCACGCTTGGAGCGGAGACGTCTAGCCTGTAAAAGCGGACAAAAGTGAGCGGCGAGGACCAGCTCGCCGCTGCACAGATGTCTTGGATGGAAACACCCTTGAACAAAGCCCAGGATGTAGCCAGGCCCCGAGTCGAGTGAGCCCGCAGACCCGAAGGTGCTTGCAAACTCTGACTCGTATAGGCCAAAGCAATTGCCTCCACAATCCAGTGGGAGAGCCGTTGCTTAGTAACAGGCTTGCCCTTGTGAGGGTTAGCCCAGGACACAAAGAGTTGGTCATTAAGACGAAGCTCCTTTGATCTGTCCATATATGTGCGTAAAGCACGGACTGGACACAACAGATCCTGCTGCTGTTCCCCGGAGGAAACCAGCGGTGGAGGAAATGCCTCAATGTCAATTGGGGTACACGAACCAACCACCTTTGGTGTAAAGGCAGGGTTGGGCTTCAACAACACTCTCGTTTGCCCTGGGGCGAACTGAGTGCATGAAGGATGTACAGACAGCGCATGAATATCACTGACCCGTTTGGCGGATGCCAGGGCCAGTAACAGCACTGTCTTGATTGACAGATGTTTCATGTCAGCTCCTTCCAGGGGTTCAAATGGGGTCATTCTGAGCCCATTTAAAACCACTGCCAAGTCCCATAAGGGCACCAGTGACCTGGAGACAGGGAGGAGCCTGCGAGCTCCCTTCATAAAACGGCAGACCAAAGGATGTTGGCTAGCCGTCTTACCCTCAAAGCCCACATGGCATGCAGCAATAGCAGCCAGGTACACCTTGATCGTGGAGAAAGCTCTGTGTTTATCGATCAAGTCCTGTAGAAATGATAAAATCACCCCGACAGGACATTGAAAGGAGATGTGTCCTTCTTGAAGGCACCACTCCTCAAACACCCTCCACTTACAGTCATAAAGAGACCTGGTGGAGGAAGCTCTCGCACTCTGAATAGTGTTTATCACCTTCTGAGGGAGTCCCACTGTATTCAGATTGTACGACTCACGGGTCAGGCCCATAGTGCCCCGCGCTCTGGGCGTGGATGAAGGATCGCCCCCCCCACCTGAGACAATCTGTCCCTGCGTAGAGGGGGGCTGCCATGGCTGCCCGCACAACAGCTGATATATCTCCGCCAGCCCGTATGTTGCGGGCTAATGCGGAGCCATCAGGATAAGTGTGTGGCGTTGCTCCTTCACTCTGGCCAGAGTTGGGGGTATCAGAGCCAGGGGTGGGAACGCGTACAGAAGACCCGGAGGTCAATCGTGTACGAGTGCGTCCACGCCTAACGGTGCGTTTAAATCGTGCATTAAAGAGAACAGCTGTCATTGAGCATTTTCTCTTTATGCGAACAGATTTAACGCGGCTCTGCCGTAACGCACCCACAGCGGACTCACGATCCTTGGATGTGGAGTCCAGTCTGCATAGAGTGGTGCACCTCTGGACAGTAGTTCTGTCCCGAGGTACATCACTCCTGGTACATGCGTCGCTCTCAGAGAGAGGAGACGTCTGCCGCTCCAAGGGATAAGTTTGTGTGCCAGTGTGCGACTGGAGACAACGCAACCTCCCTTGGCGGTTCATACACGATACTGTGGTCGTGTTGTCTGTCCTCACGAGGACATGGTGTCCTCTGAGAGAAGGCAGAAAGCATTTTAGGGTGGGGAACACCGCTAAAAGCTCCGGGTGATTTACGTGCGCCCGCTGGAGGTCTCTGCTCCAGAGACCCCTCAACGGGCGACCTTCGTAAATACCCTATCAGCCTGTCAGACATGCGTCCGTGGTGACCACCTTCCGTGAAAGGACAGCACCCGTAGGCGCGCCCCATACTAGAAAAGTCGGGTGCGGCCAGTGGCGTCGTGCCACTACGCATTTCATAATAACCAATACTCTCCGCACGCCGTGGCGCACGGGGTTTAGTTTTATTATGAGACCCATGTTGAGCAGGTGCTTTACGAGGACATTTGTCTGCGTAATCTGACTCTGCTCGGCGGGCATTATAGATAAAACCCTCCTTTCTAGGAGAGAGAGAATCTCTCTCTCCAGAATATGGGTTGACTCTCCCCGGGCTTGTGAATACAGATAGCCCGAGAAGCGAGGGGGGTGACGGTGACTTGGAGTCTTTAGCTCCGTGTAACTGTCTTGAGAAACCCAAGCAGATGTCGCGAGCATCTCCCGCTGTATGCTCCTTAGAGCCAGCTGAGATGTCACGTCTCTTCCCCTCTGAGTCTCTATTTGTTGTGTTATGGCAACCCAGTCTCACGGCAGAGAGGCGTCCATCTTGTTCGCCTCGTGGCGTGGAGAGGACCCACTCGTAACAGATACGTCGTTGAGAGAAAAGTGTTACCAACCCGTCCTTAATCCGGAGAAAAAGGGACGGTGTGGGTCCTTTGTTCTCAAAGAATATTGACTGGTGTGTCAATATACTTCTAATCCTTTTCTCCTCCGTGAGAGAGAAAAAGAAAAGCGTCCTCGCTACCGTGGTGTTGGTAGTAAGGGGAAGCTAGCTAGCAACAGGTGCGTAGCTAGCTTGAGAAAAATCAAAACCTTACCTTACTTTCCGGGTAAAGAAACGGCGAGGTCGATTTTAATACTAACTGGCGTTAGTATTACCGTCTTCTTGCGAAGCAGAAGGAGTAGCCGGCGAGCGCCCGTCGACCGAAATGTTTTGGATTTGGGTTCAGTCTGTGGACTGTTAAGCTTGTCCGTCTACAGATGTGCTCTGAAGCGAGAAGAGGTGTTTGAATGACGCATGCGTCGTGGCGCAAGCTACTTATAGGGGGTGATTCCCTGACGTTGACGTCAAGATCACCAGCCAATCAGGATTGGCGTAATGAGATTGATGCTTCTGTTTGCTCCGCGATGAGGCGCATCCCATAGTGAGACATCACTATGTTATGAATGAGAACACCCATTTTACTCATAATTCGATTTTAATTTTTTTTATTTTAGACATGAATAACACATTTATATACAGTGTAATTGAAATATTGCACTGCTTTTGTGATCCTAAGACTTTGGTAACCAAATCTAAAACACCAAAACAATTCGATCACATGAGTACATTTGTGTTTTCACAAAAGTTTTGAAGATTTTCCGAAAATCTGATGTCAAATTTTAAGCTTTTGAGCTACTTATCTCAAACAGTGCTCTAAGGTGAGTAATTTGCATATATAGCAATACCAGAGATTGTCCTGAACATTTTGATATGTAACACATGGGGTGCCATGTTAGAAGAAATACATTTAAAAGGTGATTTAAGAAAACATCTAAAAATCGAGAAAATACCCTTAGACTCCAGAGGGTTAAATGACTATCTCAATAAATGATGTCTCTGAAAGGAACCTTGCACATTAGGTGATTTCAATGTACTGTAGCATGTCAGCTAACCACAACCCCTGTGTGAGATTCATAACAAAATGGGTGTAAAACTGTGACTCAAGTGTGGAAGTGAGCAAATGAAACCTCAATTACCTCCTAGGGTGGCTGAGATGAGTATGTGGGTTCCATATTTCTTGATGATGGTGTCGATGAACTGCTGAGTCGTGGGTCTGCGGCCCAGCAGGCGTACGCTGTGCTGGAACTCAGGCATGAGCGGCACGGGGTTCCGCATCAGGTCCCTCCTCTCGATGGCTGTGTTCCTCACCTTCCAACGTGCAAATTCCCTGAGAAGAACAGGAAAAACAACCACATGATTAACTATATACAATCACACCATCAGCAATACTAGTAAAATGGCTTTTATAACAGTGTGGTAACACTTCAATATGCAGACTCCATCATACCAAATTAATGTGTGGCTAAACAATTTGCTAATGGTAAAAAAAAAGACAGTAATATTTTAATAATAAATAAAGCAGATTGAGGTTCCCAGATCTGAACATTTATAATATAGATAGTAAAGCAAAATAATAATGATTGTGTTGCAGAAGTTTCGTTTTCAGTTGTGTCCATTTATCACTCCGATATGAATATAAAAAAACCAGTTTTCTTGTTTGTTCTTAGACCCATGTTCTGTAATGTTTTTCATTTTTCATTTCAATTGCCTTAGGTCCTTTTTCTCTGTGTAAAGCTCGAACTTGAACCTTTAAGAAAAAGTATAAAAACCGCGAGTATAACTCACTGAACTACGCAGGATTCTTCCCTTTTTGTGTTTGTAAAAACATTTGTGTGGATGGTCCTGATGTGTTGTTACTGTTTGCACTAAGAAATGCATTCAGAAAACATTTCCAAGGGCAAATATTACAGGCAGTTCTGTAAATCTGAGGGTTACAGAAACAAATATCCCTGCCCTGAGGATAGAAACAGGTACACTGTACACTTAAGCTACACTGAACAAAAATATAAACGCAACACTTTTGTTTTTGCTCCCATTTTTCATGAGATGAACTCAAAGATCTAAAACATTTTCTATATACACAAAATAACCATTTCTCTCAAATATTGTTCACAAATCTGAAAAAATCTGTGATAGTGAGCACTTCTCCTTTGCCGAGATAATCCATCCCACCTCACAGGTGTGGCATATCAAGATGCTGATTAGACAGCATGATTATTGCACAGGTGTGCCTTAGGCTGGCCACAATAAAAGGCCACTCTGAAACGTGCAGTTTTGCTTTATTGGGGGGGTCTGGGGGGGGGTCCGAAAACCAGTCAGTATCTGGTGTGAGGGGTAGGGTTAGGTTAATGTTGTGAATCGAGTGGCCCATGGTGGTGGTGGGGTTATGGTATGGGCAGGCGTATGTTATGGATGACGAACACAGGCCACTCGATTCACAACATTAACCTAACCCTACCCCTACCGCTCACACCAGATACTGACTGGTTTTCGGACCCCCCCAGACCCCCCCAATAAAGCAAAACTGCACGTTTCAGAGTGGCCTTTTATTGTGGCCAGCCTAAGGCACACCTGTGCAATAATCATGCTGTCTAATCAGCATCTTGATATGCCACACCTGTGAGGTGGGATGGATTATCTCGGCAAAGGAGAAGTGCTCACTATCACAGATTTTTTCAGATTTGTGAACAGTATTTGAGTGAAATGGTTATTTTGTGTATATAGAAAATGTTTTAGATCTTTGAGTTCATCTCATGAAAAATGGGAGCAAAAACAAAAGTGTTGCGTTTATATTTTTGTTCAGTGTATCTGGGATTCAAAAGGAGGCACTCGTGTTGAGTCTGGCATATCCAGGTGCTGAAAGTCAGTGATTAGGCATTCATGTAAGTATCTTTCCTTTGTTTGATAACATTGTCAGTATAGAGAGCTGCATACAAATGGTGTTATTGTTATAAAACAAGCGGTTCCTATTTAGCATACTTTGTTTTTCAGGAAAAGCAGAGGCACATATGATTTCTGATGTATCGGATCACTCTAAAGAAATCATTATTTAAATGCAAATTGAATAAAAAAACTGTGATTTTCATTGCCATTGCCATCTGTCAATCACAGTTTGTTTTATATATCCAGATTGCGCACACACACACCTCCACGAAACATACATTTATTTGCATGCTGATCCTTGGTGTCGGTATTAACGTGTGAGACATATGCCCACACTTGTACCTGAAAGGTGATGATGTACACATAAAGACTGGAACACTCTTCGCACTGCTTAGATGAGCAAAAAACTCCATAGGGAGGACAATGTAATTTCCTGATTACAGTCTGATAGTTTTAAAAGCACTTCCACAAAATTAAATGAAGTTTAGATTGAATTTAGATATGTTTAGTGATGCAGACTTTAATGTATGAACGATGAGGCCAATTACGGTAAGTGTTTGATTTAAAGTGCACCAAAAGCTCTATCAGATTAGGCACAAACAAAAGGCTTTATCGTCTCAATAATTCCTACCTAAAAGCCTTGTTTACTTGAAACAATTCGAGTTCTGTTCAATAAGTGGATATACGTTGTATGTGAAATTCGACCAACACACTCACACACACACTCTACAATAAAAAAACAATCAGCAGGTTTGGAAGATTTGAGCTATGCTTTCGGATATTGCAATTAGTATTACTAAAACAGGTAATTAATCTAAGATAAATCAAATTGGGTTATTCTTGCTGCCCACTTTAGTTCTTGAAAAAAATAGGACCGTAAGAACACAAAGAGAGCATTGATAAAAGTGTGAAAGGGTTTGTACTTGTCTTCTTATCAGTGTGAAAACAGAAGAAAAGGCCTTTTTGAGATCGACTCTCAAGGTTGTTTTTTGTTCACAAGAAAATCCTGCATCCTATTCCAAAGCTCAGACTCATTGGTAGTGAGACAAATATGTTTAAACAATAAAATAATACACACAAAGATATTCTTTTCAATTTTAAAACCTTAAGTTTTATGAAATGAACTCCTTGAATCAGTACGCTGAATCCTTTAATGCGACACGGTTTCAGTCATAGATTTACTGTCTCCATATTTCTACATATGGAAGAGAGCAATAGCTGGCCTGATGTCTGCGAAATAATGTGTGTCCTTTACATTCCCTAATACTGCAGGTGCAACAAAACTCCTGCACATTGTCTTGATTGCAATCAAAACAAACCAAGTGTAAAAGATGAATTGCAGGAACTGATTCGGCCAAACACACTTATTGACATGCTTACATCATGACACAATTGCACTAGAGAATGCCAAATCATTAAAAGGTGGTTTTAGACTCAACAATGCTATTATCCCCATATTTCCTTTGCAGACTTCAGGGGCTCCTAATGCATGATATTAGAACCTTGAAATGTTTAAAAGCAAATATTTTTAATATGGCTTTTATTTGTCCATGTTTTACTGTATTTTTTCTGTTTTGCTTTTATTTTACATTTTAAATTGTCTTTTTTAAATTGTTTGATTTTAACCTATTTTAATTTCCTGTCAGCTTTAATTCAAGGGAATTTCATTAGGATCACTGTAGGTGTTTTATCTTGTTCTGTATTTATTTTAATAATGTTGTTGTGTTTTCTTCTTATTCTGTAAAGCACTTTGGGCAGCTTTGTGCATGAAAGGTGCTATACAAGTTTATTATTATTATTATTATTTAGCCATGAATAGGTGGTGGCCCCCAAAGTTGAGCGTCAGTTACTCAGTTTGGATTCTCCGACACACAGTCAGGGATGTGTCAGCCTGCCTGAGCCGGACTTGGCAGCAGCACCTTTTAATGCTCCATTCAGCACTCTATAATAGCATTTAACATTGGCGTCCTTTCTGCCAGTTGTCACACAACTTCATAATGTAGCCAAGATTTCAAAGGTAATATCTTGCTAACTCTCTCAAGGAAAAGGTCCTTTTACACACTTAGTACTATCAAAGAGCCATAAGGAGTACACGTAGCAGGGTTGCCTTACATAGGGGCTGAGTGACACTTCAGTGTGGTGCCAGTGACTAAGGAGAAGAGGCATTTCAATTGAAGGAACTTGGATTTTAGCGACATTTTGCCAAACAAATCAATACAATAGGTTTTTGCTTTTGGCCAGTAGCCGACCATCCAATCTCAATGTTTCCCTCCAAGGGTGAAAGTCTGCCCCTGAAGTATAATAACAAAAACGATTGAATGATTGCTAATAACATTACATGCTTTTACAACTGACAGGAGAACGCTGCAGCACTTTTTTCTTACTCTGTCTGATCTCTAAAATCATCGAGTAAAGTTTTTCCAACCTGATATTCCATTAAGGCTTTGGGGCAGACTTGCTGAGGTTTTCTTTTGAGTACTTTGCAATTCCTCAAAGAAACAAGTCCTCATCCAGGGGGACAGGCCTCAGCACTCATACTAGTACATGCTGACTCAGCTTTCACTCTTGCTCCATGACTTAGCTTTATTAGAAGTACATGCTGGCTGTTATTTCTGAACTATGGAGCAAACATTCAATCAGGAAAACTGCGAGAAGCCTTCAGATTTGCAGCAGATGAACCAACATATCCCTCCGTTTATTCTTTCCCCATCTCTCTCTGTGTCCCTCCCTGCTGCCACGTCCCTTATCAATTCATTTCCAGTGAATCCTCCTCATGGCTCTGTCACTGCCAATTATTATAAAACAGTATATGGCAGCCATATGTACTGGTGCTCTTCTGCCCCAAATTAGACATGCCAGCAGATGGATCCTGCGACATGATTCAGTGATTCACACCACAGCTCCAAGACTGTCTTTAATGACCTACCAAAGGAGGT